ATATTAACGGTTTAGTAATTAACTAAATGAAATTTTAATATATTTTGGAGTCACTGCGTAAGAATAATTATTCAAATGTTCTTTTACATTAAACATCTATTAAAAACAAATTTGGAAGATATTTTACGATTCAAAAATAACGATTACATCGAAAACAACACAATTTTATTTATCAAAATCCTCTTAAAAGGATTATGGACATGTTGCATTGAGTGTGTACCATTATTAAATGAAATTGTTGTCTGTCCACTTATACCTTACACGATTATATTAACATAAAACTGATTTAATAAATAGCAAAAGCAAGTTTTACATAAACTTAACAAAATTCGGCCACTATTACTGACTGGCCTAAAAAATATCATGGTAGTACTAGATCTGATCCAGATATTACTGGTTAGTACCGATATCTGCTGGAGATCGGAGCTGACGTTAAAGATAGAAGTACTAATAGATGGATCCAGTGGCGTGCTTGGATTATCTTTAGTTCCAGCTGTACACTAATACATACCAGAGAAATTGGCAAATTAAAGGCCTCTTTCATGACACTCTTTGATACAGGTATCTAACGGCTGGTTTTGATAAATTTATTGATAATAATATGTGATAAACAATATATGCAAGAGATTAAACGTTCTTTTTTACTTATTACCAATATATAAACAATATAAGATAGTTATACGATTTTAAATACTAATGGTAAATATCAGTAAATTAAATTGGGTGTTTTTTTTTGTAGGTATAGAACTTTCTTCTTCGTCTTCAGGTGCCATATCCGCTACGGAGGTTAGCAATCATCATAGCTATGAATTTTTGAGGCAGTAGCTCTAAATAGTTGTTTTGAGCTGCATCCAAACCATTCTCTCAGGTTTTTAAGCCATAAAATTCGTCTTCTTCCGATGCTTCTTCTGCCACCTATCTTTCCTTGCATTATGAGAAGCAAGATGCCATACTTCTAGTCCCGCATCACATGTCAGAGATACTGTAGCTTTCGTTCTTTAATTGTAAGTTCAACTTCCTTCTCTTTACCTATTCTTCTCAGTACTTCGTTGTTCGTAGCTCTATCTACCCAGAAAACCCTCATAATTCTTCTATAGGTCCACATTTCAAAGGCGGATCTTTGAAATGGAATAAAACAAAGATGATTTTTTTAATTGATGATTTAAAGTCAGTAATCCTGGCTCTATAGTAGTAACGTTCTGGCCAGCATCGTTTTTTTGAGAAGTACGGAATAATGATTTCACTAGCCCACAAAACAAACCCAACAGTCAGTTTTTCTGGATGTAATGGTGTCTCAACATGCATTTGAGGTTTATCTTTGCTCAAAGTACGGTAGCCTTGTTTGTTGACATAGTCATTCAACCAAAAGTGAGCTTCATGGCTAAACAAAATTCGCTTGTGAAAATCAGGATCAACGGCAATCCCGTTTTGGGCCCATTCACAAAATCTACGCCTTGCTAGGTGGTAGCTTTAAGTCTTGCTCGAGTTAGATTTTATAAGGGCGCAAATCAAAATCTTCCATAAAGTGGATGGATACATATTTAACTGCTGTGCACGATAAGTACATCAATATTATTTGATCTATTAACTTTAGACTTAAGGTATCCCCATAAGAAAGAATCTAGTGGAAACAGATCAGGGGATCTAATTGGCCAATCTAAAAATCCTCGTCTGCCAATGCATATATTACGAAAAACAATATTTAGGTATTCACGTACGTGTCGTCCTTAATGTGGTCGTGCTCCATCTTGGTACAATAGCGAATTGTCCGGTAGCTGAGGATTTTGATCCTTTTAGTATAATGTTAAAATTATTTGATGTTAAAGTTAATCCAAATACTTGCCACCGTTCAAAGAACCGTCGCTTTTAAACCTTTTACCTTTGACGTATCATGGAGGGCTCATTTTTAAAGGAATCTTTTTTTTTAATTAAACTCTTGTCTAATCTTTTAAATGTTTCTTTTTAAATTGCTTATTTTTTGTAAACAAATCACCGGTGAATTTTGGAAAAAAGGAGCTAACTCATGCTTTAAGGTGTCGTAGAAAATTATGTTTTTTTTTAATTCGTGTAAAAATGTCCACATGACAAAAAAAATTAACTTCCTACATGCTAGTATATCTGAGTTGGTTTAATGGTTTATAAGCTTAAAATCATAGTACTTTTGTAAAGCTATTCTACAATATTTAAAACATAAACGTGTTAATCGTTAAATGATTTATTTTGGTAAAAGAAGCCTTTCTTCAATTTAGTGCTTTCAGAATTCATATTTATCTATTTGTCCAAATAACTCTTTAATTTTTACCATTTTATATATACCTTATACATTCCATGTATCCAAGTTCATCCCTCATACATTCACCCATTATGGCCTGGTCCATTCTTCTTCTTAACGTGCTCTATCAAGTCCCCTTGACGTTGGCGATTCTCTCTTCAATCCTGACCCCCCAGGGGGAGTGTAGTGGTCGACGTGATGTCGTGTATTGTCCGTCTCCAGAGATCTCTGTCTCTGGTCATTTCTTTTAATTCATGCATAGGTCTTTGGCATATTCCTGTAATTTGATCTATCCATCTTGTTGGGGATCTTCCTCGTGATCTTCGGCCTTCTACCTTTCCTTGTATTATGAGTCTTTCCATGTTTTCTGTGTTTGCTCTCATAACATGCCCAAAATATTTTAATTGTTGGAGATGGACTTTACTAGAGAGTCGTTGGCTAACTTTTAGCTCTCTTAAAATTGAATTATTTGTTGTGCGGTCGGTCCAAGGAATTCGTAACATTCGTCTCCAACAGAACATTTCAGTGGCGTCTATCTTTCTTCTCTCCGATTGTCTCAGAGTCCAAGATTCACATCCGTAGGTCAGTATTGGGAATATTAAGCAGTTGATCAACCTCATCTTTATCGCTCTTGAAATTTGACAGTCCTTCCATATTTTGGTCATTTTTGCTGTGGCAACTTTTGCTAGATCAGATCTACGTTTAATCTCTCCTTGTAATGACCCTGTGTTTGTGATTAATGATCCCAGATATAAGTATGAGCTCACAACCTCGAACCGGTCAATTGTGGTTATGTGTGGATGATTGTTGTGTAGTCTATCCACTATCATGATCTTTGTCTTTGATATGTTTAATTGCAGACCAAATATTTGACTTTCGTTTTTCGATCAGTCGTATAAGTTCTATCAGCTCTGCTTGACTATTTGCAAGAAGGGCTGTGTCATCTGCGAAACGTAGGTTGTTTAGTTTATGACCATTTATTGAGATGCCTTTATGTTGCCCTGGATGAAATTCGCGTTCTGGATGAAATTCGTTCGAAAGTGTATCAAGTACTTTAACGTTGGCGATTAACATGGCGAAACTGTCTCTGTCTCGAGCTATTCTAAAGAGTTGCTCAGCTTTCTTTATTCCTGTCCACTCTCTGATATTATTCAACCAAGAGGCCTGCTTTCTACCAATTCCTCTGCGTCCTTCGATTTTACCCATCATAATAAGTTGAAGAATATTATATCGGTCCTCCCTTACTACGTGTCCAAAATAGGCCATCTTTCTACATTTGATGTTATCAAGCAGCTCGCGAGCAGCATTTGCTCTCTCAAGGACTGCCACATTTTTCAGCATAGCCGTCCATGGAATTTTTAGTATACGTCTGTGCAGCCACATTTCAAAGGCCTCAAATGTAGCATTTAACCATACGCTTTCGAAGTTGAAGTTTCAAGTTATCATTACAGAAGAATGACCTCATTTTTAAAAATGTCGTGCGGGCTATCTCGATTCTACATTTTATCTCTTGATCTGGATCTAGTTATTCAGTAATATGGCAACCAAGATACTTAAAATTTCACACTCTTTGAATTATATGACCATCAACATATAATCGTGCATCTTGATGTGCTAAACGGCTAAACACCATGTGTTTTGTTTTTGAACAGTTTATGTTTAGGCCAAACTCTCTTCCCACTGTATCAATGGCATTTAAAAGGCATTGTAATCCATTCATGTCATCACTTAAAATAACTGTATCGTCTGCATATCTGATTGTATTTATAAGAATTCTATTAACTTTCACGCCCCATTCCAAATTATGCAGCGCTTCTTTAAATATTCTATCTGAATATAAATCAAATAACAGTGGGGATAGTATACAACCCTGTCTGACACCTCTTTGTATTTTACATATTTCTGTTGATTTTCCGTTTATGCAAGCTGTCGCTGTTTGACGCCAGTATAACTTTTCTATGAATCGTATGTCTTGACTATTAACTCCTTTATCTTTTAATATTGTAATTAATTTGTGATGCTGTACTCGATCAAAGGCCTTTTCATAGTCAATAAATACAGCATTGTCCTGGTCCATTACCTATATTAATTTCGTTTCATTTGCCTTTGTTAGTGTTTTTTTTTTGTTTATGCTTTGGTTTTCTATTTCTCTATACCTCAGCATTTATTTTTATTTGTTAGAATCCGGCCTTGACATCTTTTTCTTTCGATTAAACTTTTTTGCCTTCATTCTAATTTTTCCATGTATCATACGTTCAGTTTTGTCTATGTTATCGTTAATATATTTATTTTCCATTAATTTCTCTCAGTTTACTTTTATTTTTCATTATTGTTTTTTTGTTCGTTGTATTTAAAAGCTGAATTAAGCAGGCTTCATTTCCAATTTTCCTTACGTTTTTTATCTTTGCATTAATTTTTAGGACATTACTTAAATTTTCCCATAAAAAAAATTAATAGACTTTTAAGGTTGATATAAAAGTTTTGTAAAACGTTGGTTTTAAAAGTCGTATACAAAAGAACAACTTTCGGTCCAATATTTTATTGTATACTTATAAATTTAAATTTTGACAATTATCTTCTTTTTGAATTAATTTACAGACAATCATCGTTTTACATTTTTATAATGAAACGATGCCGATTATAACGATCCGACCTGTTATTTTTTAAACACCAAAAGAAGTCAATGGTACCTGCATTCCAGATTTTTCTGGTTCAAACCGATACTTACCAATACCTGCCTCCGCCACTACCCAAGACAGGCGAAGAAATAACATGACTCCCCAGATATTGAGAAGACATGGTATGAGGACACCTTGTATCCATCCTAGCTTTATTCCTGCGTGCGGCTCTGACTGGTCTTCCACCGCTATGTTAGTGTCTGTGGCATGATTGTTTTCCTGCAAACAAAATGTTTCTTGTAGCAATAGGAAATCTACATTTTTTGTACAGTTTTATATGATAATTAAGGTGATATAGAATAAATATTATACATATATGAAGTTATGGTCTAACCAATATTATGTTTAAAAATGCCTTCACGGGGTGTTGAGTTACGAAATTTAACGGAATGTTTAACAGCGCGCTAAAATGGTTAAAGGTTTTTATGTTAAAGTTTGTAGGTGGTGTTTAAAATATGTAATGGTGAATAAGATCAAAGAAGCGACGTTTTTGTTATTAATTTTTGTTGATTTTTAGAAGGGTAGAGAATTTCATAAACAGAAAAAGTTTTCCCTTATTAATAATAAAAGATTTTGTTAACAAGTGATTTAAATTAGCTTCTTGTGAAAGGATTAACGATAAAACTAAAATTGGTTATCTGTTACAATTAATAAATATTTACATCTATACTTCATTTCAGATGTCTGTACAGTAAAGAAATGTGCAATTTCCCTTTGAAAACCAGTATTTAATAGGCTCCATAGTAATAAAGGTTTTAATGAGTCTCCTAGACAATAGATAATGAGCTTATATTCTTCTTCTTCTTCTTCTTTTTATATAGACATGACTCTGTCCGTTTTTCAATGTTCCTCCATTAAGTTGTGATTCGATCGTTTTCGTGGTCTTCCTGCTGATCGAATTACTGGATTGTTGTCTGATGACACATCTGTTCCTGGATATGTCTTTGCCGATTTGATGGAGTTACTTCTTCTTAAGGTTCCATCTTCTAACGAAGGTTGGATATCAACATGGCAATTCTTACTTTACTTACAGCAGCTCTAAATAGTTGGCTAGAGCTCAGACTAAACCATTCCCTTAGATTTCGTAGCCAGGAGGTTCGTCTTCTTCCTACATCTCTTTTACCTTTTATTTTGCCCTCTATAATCAAACGTAGTAGCCCATAACGAGGACCTCTTAATATATGACCGAAATATTCAAGTTTCCGCCTCTTAATTGTCTGTACAATTTCTTCCCTCTTATTAACCCTATCAAGGACTTCAATATTGGTAATTTTGTCTACCCATGCTATTCGTAGCATCCTTCGATAACACCAACGCTCAAAAGCTTCCAATTTCTTAATCTCCAGTTGTTTCAATGTCCATGCCTCAGATCCGTAGAGCAAGGTTGTAAAAATGTAGCAGCGCAATAACCTTATCCTTAGATCCATTCTTAGGTCTCTACTACACAATAGATGTTTCATTTTTACAAATTTTGCCCTTGCTATTTCTATACGGCTTTTAATCTCTTGCGTTTGTTCTGCGTTTTGACTAACCAATGTTCCTAGATATTTGTATTTATCTACCCTTTCTATCTGGATATTATTAATATGGAGTGTCTCGTTGTCTTTTGGATGTTTTGTAATGACCATGAATTTTGTTTTCTTTAAGTTCATTTTAATACCATATATGGTACACTTTTCATTCAGCCGTTCCAGTATGTTTGATAGACTTTGCAGAGTTGAAGTGAATATGACAGTATCATCGGCATATCTTATATTATTAATAATTTCACCATTTATTATCATTCCATCGTTACACTCTCCTAAAGCTTCTTGGAAGATGGCTTCGCTATATATATTAAACAGCAGTGGTGATAATACACAGCCCTGTCTCACACCCCGAAGAATTTCTATTTCTTCCGACATTTGATTTTCAATTCTTATTTTGACTTTCTGGTTCCAGTAGAGGTTCGAGATTACTCTGATGTCGCGGCTATCGATGTTTTTCATTTTTAAAATATTAATTAGTTTATTGTGCTGTACCTTGTCAAATGCTTTTTCAAAATCAATAAAACATGTATACATGTCTTGGTTCATATCCAGATTTCTTTGCATGAGCACATTTATACCGAACAATGCTTCCCTGGTTCCCGTGCCGTTTCTAAAGCCTAACTGACTATCACTAATTTCATCATCCAGCTTTCTGTAAATTCTGTTGTGGACTATTCGTAGAAATACTTTCAAAACATGGCTCATTAATGCAATTGTACGGTGTTCTGAGCATTCTTTTGCATTTTGCTTTTTGGGAATAATTACGAATGTGGATACTAACCACTCCTTTGGTAAAATACCTGTTTGATAAATATGATCATAAAGTTCTACTAGAATGTCTATCATTTCATCATCGATCAGTTTAAGAAACTCAATCGGGATTTCATCCGGACCTGTGGCCTTTTTCCCTTTTGTCTGTTTTAATGCGTATTGAACTTCCTGTTTTAAAATTTTTGGTCCCGATTCACCAGAGTCCTCATCTATGATTTGTTGTCTGTCATCCCCGAATAGTTCTTTTATATATTCTGTCCATCTGTTTAGTTGTTGTTTTGTATCTGTGAGAATGTTACCATTCGAGTCTTTTATAACATGTATATTATTTTGTTTTCCCGACGTCATTTCCTTCACTTTCCGATGAATATTGAAACTATCATATTTCTTTTCATATTCTTCTATTTCGTGACACTGTTCAGTTAGCCATCTTTCTTTTGCTGTTATTATGTCTTTTCTAATCCTGCTGTTTAAGGATTTGTATTTGCTAGTGTTTATGTTTTTATATTTTCTTCTTTCATTCATGAGAGTTAGTATTTCGTCTGTCATCCACATATGTCTTTTCTTTGGTATTGGTCCACGTATTTCTTCTCCCGCTTCTTTTAAAGCTTGTTGAACCTCTCTCCAATTTTCATTTACGTCTTTAGAGTTGGTGTTTTTTGACTTGATGGGTTTAAGATTATCATTGATTTTCTGTCTAACTCTTTGTTCTATCTGAGTATCTTTTAATCTTGTCACATCGAATTCTTTTCTAATCTTTTTGTTTTTTAACTTTTTTAATTTTGCTTCCATTTCGACAATAATAGGGACGTGATCCGAGTATATATCGGCACCTGGATAAGTTTTTGCTGATTTTATTGAATTTTTAAACCTATTTCTGATCAAGACAAAGTCTATTTGGTTTCTGACGATGTGTGATTCTCGGTCTGCTGGTGATTTCCACGTGTATAATCTACGTTTAGGTAGATCAAATAAGGTATTTACTATAACCAGATCTTCATTTTGGCAAAATTCTAAGAGTCTATCTCCACGTTCATTTCTAACGCCCAATCCAAACTCACCAATCCATGGTGCCACTGCTCCTTTACCTATTTTGGCGTTAAAATCCCCTAGGATGATTGTTATCCCACATTTTTTTGTCAATTTTAGAGCGGCATTGAGTTGATTATAGAATATTTCAATTTCCTCCTCATCTTTGTCGGCTGTTAGAGCATACACCTGTACTATGTTTATTGGAACAGTCTTTGAATTAAGTTTCAGAATCGCGACTCTGTCTGATATTGGAGTAAAGCTTATTACTGTTCTATTAATTTTGTAATCAACGAGAATTCCTACGCCATACAAATGTGATGGGTCATCGTTTCCTGAGTAGTATAGCATTCCGTTGTTTGTTATACATTTACCTGTTCCTTGCCATCTCACATCGCTAATTCCTAATACATTTACATTCAAACGTTCCATTTCTAAGATGGCATTGTCTAGTTTTCCAGCCATAAACAGACTTCTAACATTCCATGTCCCAACTCTAATACCTAGTCTAGTTTTGTTCGACTTGTTCATGTTTTTACAGGGATTTTGCATGTTGACGACCGGAGAGGCCCCATAGTCTTGCGATTGCCCTCTCCTGCCGGATCTTGGTATCCGTATTCCATGATCAGTAACATTTTTGAGTAGGTCTTTACTAGCCATGTTGACTTACTAAGGATGTTCTTTTGAACCTTTAATGCAGTGGTTTCCCCTTGCCTTCTGCATCCTTATGCCGTTGACCGTATACTTGGCTCATCCGCCTTTAGGGTCGATTTCTCAGCCCAAGGACAAAAGAGTGCCCTACCACTTACCAACTCATCCGTCCGAAGCCGTTGGTCAGTAAGTGGGGGATTGCTTATACCGGCGGATGGAGTTACGGTATCTCTTATTGATAAGGATATAATCTATCTGGTTCCGGATAATTTTTTCTTTGCTATCCTTAGGTGATTTCCATGTATATAATCTACATGGTGGTAACTGAAAAAATATATTTGTCTCTATTGTTATTATTATAAAAAATCTCCCATTGTTATTATTATATCTCTAATATTGGTGCTTTCTAGTGCTTTTTTAATATCATTGTAGAACTCTTCTATTTCATTTTCATCTTTATCTGCAGTGGGGGCGTACCTGCAGTGGGGGTGGTAAACTATAAGCTTTCTCCCTTTTTCCGACGGTGCTTTAATACGTGTGGACAATTCCTCCAACACAGCTTATCGGTTGCTTTTAACATTTTTGTCTTACCATACCTTGCAAACCGTATGGACTTCATTCATCCATGTCTCATCTAAATACGGCTTTTCTCTCTGTGCTGTTTAAGTTTTCGAAGATACTGCTTTCTTTAAGAAACGATTTCCGGACTGTCCATTAACATTGATTTTCTGTTAATGGTTTCCCACAAAAAATTTAATTTGTGAAGTGTTTTCCACAATCAAGTTCTACTAATGCCCAGAACATCATCATCTTGCACTGCGGCATGAATTTTGGAGATTGTTCAAATTTCCTTGGCAAAATAAAAAGAATGAACCTTTCTTCGAATTACACTTTTAACAATTTCATTAATCTTGAGAGCCAACAAATAAGATGCATTTTTTACATATAAAAGGACATTTAAACTTTCAAATAAAATTAAAATCATTGAAATAATGTGGTTTCGGAAATTATTATGGACAAACGTCGTGAGACGAGATTTTTGTATATCAAGATAAACTGCATCTATTGCGCACTACATATTTTACATTTTTTTTATTAATTCTTAATAGTAAAACTGAACTCAGTACCTATGTGTAATTTAATTACCTTAATTGCGATTTCTTGTAGTACTTAAGATATAGAAACCCTTATCAAATAGAACTAGTGCAACAAATACAACAAGTATATATATTTTTTTAT